GACAGCTGGCCTGGGGGAACTGCTTGCACGCACACTCTTACCATAGTACGTGACCTAGCTTACTCTTTTTGCATTGCACAGATGTTTTTGACACACTCGCAGACTTGCTGTGGCTTTGGAAGTCAACAGCCCCCGGAGTTTTGTCTTTTGGACTTCTGGGTCTTTTTCTTGCAGATACAGGTTGGCCCTTTCCTCTGACAGTTGTATCACAAAAAAGATGAAGAAGACGGACTTAAAGCATGAAACAAGTTTCAGAAATTCTGGATTCAAACAACCAGAGCGGTTGCAGAGGGAGAGAATTGTGCTGCACACCTAGGAAGAACTGTGGCAGGGAAGAACTGTGGCACCTGAACTTCATGTCAGTAAGATGCTTCCCTGAAGATCGATGTTGAGTTGAACCCTCTGACTACAGAGGCAACACATCGCTACGTAAGCCCTTGTATCTATTGAGAAATATGTAGCCTCAGCCATCTCGAAACTAGTAGCTACAAGGTTGTTGTTGATAGGCAGGCTATCTTTTAGCTGTTGCAAGGGAAGAATGATCCTTTAGTAAAAATATGTTGTTGTATCTTAGGACAGGGGCAAAATAGCTGGAGTTTTGCAAATATAGCATTCCCCAATAGCCATTTTTAACAAGTAATTCGGGAAGTTACCTTCTAAACAGGAAAGATTTGAAATAAAGGATAGAGGTCTTCTTCCTTCAAAGTTTTAATCTTTTGCTTACTGCAGAAAGGACTGTTACTACTGTGATTAGCTTGGCAATCTAGGTCTCCTCTGGAATGGAATGGCATGGCATGAGTAGAGGTTTGAAGATGAGGGACTGAGGGAGCTCTTGCTTTCAACCAATCTCTCTACTAACCTAGAAGGAGTGCTTTGCACACAAGACCCCCATGCCGTTACTGGTTCCCGCAAAGATGCTTTTGGTACAGCAAAGACTGCTGGGTGATGGGTGTCATCAAGTAGGGTCATGAAGTAGCAGAGTTTGGATGGAAAATGGTTTTTGGCAGTCTGTCCATTCAATACCTCTAACTGCTGCTGCTGCTGATCCTCTGTTCATTTCAGCAGAACACCGCCACACTAGGCTCTCAATCTGGCGTGTTATGGTGTACAGACAGGAGCAGTAGAAACAGCACTGGGACAGAGGGAAGTCTAGTAGCAGCACTGGGAATAAAACTATATATTAGCTGTATAATACAGCATGTTTGCCTTGATTTATGTTATCAACAGTCTCTGCAGTGTTGCTGGCAATCCTGGTGCTGATGACAACGTCATACAAATCTCAGACAGCAGCTGTTTGCACAGGAGTTGCAGGTGGTCCTAGGCCAGTTTCCTATCACAAGTTTCTAAATGGCCCTCTTGTGATGACAGGTTCTGATCTTAGCCCCTGCCATGCCAATTCTCCTTGCACATGGTTATGTTTCTGCACCTGGGCTGCAACGTTTCCTCTACCTTTGCTTCTCATCAAGGGGCATAGAGATTTGGGACCTTAGGACTAGTCTAGTTAAACACCATGATGAGTAATTGTGCAGCTGGGCTGAATAAACAGGAAAGGCACGATGACTCGGGGAGTACTGAAGGCAGAGAGACAGAATTCAGCTCTGCAATAATAGTGAAAGCAAGGGAAGGCAAGAGGAGGCACGGAAATCGTGCAGTTAAGGAGATTCACTCTTGAGAAAAGGGGAAAAGCACTAGGAGAAAGGAGCTGGAGGACCTACCAAAATACCTGGAGAATTGATATGTCCACACACACTTATGACTCCATGCAAGCTGAAAGTTAATGCGCTGAAGGTGAAAGTATTCTCCCAGAATCGCAACAAAATGTCAGTTAAAATTTGCTTATGTAGGGCAGCTAAATAAACTTGTACTGTGAACTTAACTTCAAAGTGAAAATGATATGTGGGATTTGCGTGCGGGTATGGGTGTGCATGCATGTCGGTATGTGGTGTGCGTGCATGCACTACGAGTCTCCACAAGGAGAGGTAGTGTGGTTCAGTTAGTATACTGTGGTATCACATGCTAGCTGATGATATGGTAACTTCCCCATATAGGCAAGACCTCATACCATCTGGAAAAGCATCTGGAAAAGCATCCCAGCATGCATTACAGAGAAGAAACATGTGATTTATGGTGCAATACTTTCTGTAATTTCGAACTTGCCTCTCTGTCACGCCAGCTAAATATCTTGCCTTTAAAAAAAAAAGCTTCTTCACCAAAAGTTCATTTGAGAACTTAACTGTAGCCTTTGGATGCTGAGTTGTGTCAGATACAGTTGTAGAAATATAGCTAACATAAATGGGACTGAAATGTCCCATTGCACAGAAAATATCAGCAAAAATCTGTGAGGGAAAAGCTTTTCAAATGCCACACAACTGAAAAATTATTCCAATCTCTAACTATAAGTTAGTTGCACTATACAAATTTCATCTCAATCTCATGAATTATTTACACGTGAATTGGTTAAGCAGTGAAAAGCTTGCTGGAAAGATACAGATACACATGCTTATTCAGTGCATGCAGTTTCATTTTCCTATGGAAAGAAGAAAATAGGACATTTTCCTTGGAAAAGGCTGGTCTGAAACTGTTGCTTGACAAATACAAAAGAAAATTGTTCTGTTAAGTAGAAAGCACACAGATATCTAGCTTAATATTTCAATCCGTATACACTACTAATTATTAGATCTTGTGTAAATGTGTAATGTCAATTGTTGCAGTGAATACGGCACTTTTCCTTTTTTTTTCTTCCTTTAAAAAAATATTTCTGTGAAGGTTGTATGGCTAACCACTACCTGTAACAAATTGTAACAACTTGAAGCAAACTATGAACTTTCACGAACTTCAGCCACAACAAACCCTGAAAATTTGATTAGCATAGATTTTCCCAGCAAATAAATATTAAAAATGATGAGGCATTCAGTGTGCATTTGGTGCGCTCCAATTTGGAAAGAGCCCTTTCAATTTTTGTTTTACAAAGATCTCCCAGTTTCCTGCTCCAAGTGACATGCCTGCATATGTATCAACCACCCTGATACACCAGTTCTGACAGTCCATTTGCAAGCTTATACCGAAGTAAGCAGCTTAGCCTTAAAACATCTTGTTTTCTTGGCAGTTTTAGAGGACCAGCTTACGTTTACTGACTAATCAAGGAAGACCATTGTTAGGTGTGTTTACACTTACATTTTTTGTGCAGTCAGTATGTTAGTTCAGTGACACGAGACTTACATCAGCACTTTCAGGAGAAAAGACAAGCATTACATTACACCTCCACATGCATTTGGTTCCATGGGGCTTCTCTGGGCCAAAGACTGCTCCTGCGATAATCGGCACAAGGAAACATGTTTGTTTTAGTGACGCACTTTATGTCTTCTCTTAAGACATCAAGAAAAAGGGAGAAGCACACATCATATGATTTCTACCTTATTGCTGTTGTGCAACAGTCTATAAACCCTTTTTTTTTACATAAACATGTATTTTCAAGTTTGCAAGCGAAAGCGGTCAGAAATGTCAGCTTTACAAGAGTTGCATACCTCTTGCTGCTCATCTATTGCCAGAGGCAAGTTTCCTGCTTAAAATGAACGTCGGTTCACTCCTGGTTAGATGTGCACTGCTCCCTCCGTGAGTACACCTCCAACAATTTCACTTGTGCAGTAACTTTCAGCGTCACAAACATCTACAGCTTTGCAGTAGACATTACTGGACACTGCACATACACTAGCCACACCACAGTGAAATACCTGACCCCTGTTAGGGCCAGGTCCCCAGGCAGCAAAAGAACAGTTTTCACATGTAACATTTGGGAAAAATAAGTAGTTTCCTGGGCAGGTTTCTTGCACTAGTGCTGGCGTCCCCGTAAGCGCCCTGGGGAAGCTGCTGGCGAGAGGGACGCGTCCCCACCGCTGCCCGGTGCCAGCGTTAGGGGAGACGCCGCGCTCTGCGGGGCATTCACCAACACCTGCCTCAGGGCTGCGACCCGCAGCACCTCTCCCGGACCCACACGGGCACCGGTGATCTCTGCCACCACCCAGGGCAGGTGAAGCACGGCGCAAGC